ATAGAGCAATTAAAGACAGTTGCACAGTTAAGTACGTGAGCCTATGGTCAGGGCCCCCATCTGAGTAAACAAATAAAATACTACGACCACTCATTCTTCTCAGAAGGATCTTGTATAATTCTGTAGCATGACGTATAGGTGAAGATGGTTCAAATACAGAGTCTTTAAGCCCAATAAAGACCTGACCAGTATAAAAAGAACCTTCAATTGAGTCAGGGATGTCAACTAGCAATGTTACACTGGGTGTGATCTTAAATTTAGAAAAATCATGATCTCCTACTACAAATGTATTACTGGTTGACACAATTACCTCACGACCTCTCTCTGCTGCTGCTAACGGAAAGCCGGGCTCCCCAACTTTAATAGTGTGTTTATCATCAATGCAAACAAAGAGAGATAAATTATGATACTTGACAGCATAATCTCTCATGTAGCGGAATAAAGCTGCACAGTAATGAGAATCAGGATGAGATTTTCGAAATTGACGCTTTTGAACTATATGCTTTGCCTGTAATTTAGAAGTATATCTTTTGGATGAATGAGTGCATGGATTTCTAGGACAGAAATTCAGTTGAACCCATGACTTAGATGGTATAGGTGTGCCTGTGGGACATAGTTTAGAAACCTCCTGAAGCAGGTCACGAATAGAAATAGCCTTGGCCATAAACACAACTGTGTCATGCCTTCTCTCATGTACTGCTGTACATTCTGATAAAAACATGGAGCACTTCTCCCAAAAAGTACTATAGTTATCACTTAAATTTGTGTTCAATTCACGCAAGTCAACTATTATTTCAGGATCCTCTGCTGAAAATACTTCAATTAAACGTTTATCAATCTCTTCTTCAGCTGTTGTCCGGGATGCTGAATTATCACCAGAAAGTGACTGATATATTGATCGTAAGAGATAAGGCTTACTATTACGTGAAACACGACCAATTAAATTATAAAATTCTTGCTTCATTGCCCTGGTATGATATACAGGTATCTCTTTCTTTATATCTTCAACTAAACGCATATTTTGTGTATGACTAGATTCCCCGTTACCACCTTCAGGGGCTCTCCAAATAAAATGATAGTTCCCGACATTAGAACCATGAGAATATGTAAAAAAGAAACAGGGAACGGAAAACCCCTTTTTCAACTCACGTACATAGAGATATCTTTGCCTTGGGGATTTTGGTGCAAGATTATTTACGTGAATAATCTGATAAACATTTGAAGTAATTAGGACATCATTTATATTCTTTACAAGTGGAGAAAAAGATACACATGGAGGCAAATATCGCACTGTACTGGCATCTGAGAAATTGACACTTGGTGTGGAAGAGGAATGATGTAATTTCATTGCTTTATTTCGCATTGATAAATATGATGCATATGACAACAAAGACTCGATCAGCTGAAAAAGAGCTGGCTTAAAGGTAGTAAACTGAGGTTGCTCTATCCAGCTGCTGGTAGCATATTCTTGTAACACAGTAGCATACTCGATTAATTTCTCCCGATTCATATTTGAAATGGATCTTTTCCTATGTTTACTTAGTTCAGGTTTATTGAAGCCACTTAATGATAAAAATAGAATGGGTATACTGCAGCTCCTACTAGCGAAAACTTCGTGGTGTCCATCGATATACCACAATGTATTGCAGAAGTCTGTAAGAAAGGGTTTTCCATACCGGTCAGGTTCATCCCAAAATAAACCGTTCGACTGACAAAACTCCACAATTACGTTAAACATCTTATCTTTTCTTGTCTTCTCAGTAACAAATAAAGGTAACTGCCGTTCTTCATTTGCTTCCAATGGTTCTCCCGGCATCCAAAGCTCTCGATCCACTTCAAACTTTATAAAGCACCCAAAAATGGAGCAAACTCCAATGACTGACTGGCCCATTTCTACTATATTTAATACATCTTGTGACTGGCCCACATAAACTTTAACCAAAAAACAGCGAGTCAGATATTCTGACGGACAAATACCACTTATGGAGCCACTTTTGATTAGTAGGAATAGCGCAGAAAAGGATATATCATCAGATTGCTAAAAATAGAGGAAATAAAGAGCAGTGGCACAAAAATATATTAATACTTGAATAATTGTCCATGGTACAATAATGATTTCATTTGAAATACAGACACTCAAGTACATGCTGAATGTGGCAAATAATAGTAGAAAATAGACTCTCCTCATATGATACAGCGTTAACTATAAAATAAAATAAGATAGTAAATAAAATAGCATTCTGAGTTAACAAATACATATTTTTAAAAATTGATATTAATAATAATTGTGAAAAATAAAAAATCCAGGTGTAGTGACATGATAAAATTCTATACATAAAGCATCAAAAAATGGTCATCATCACATTTCTCCCTGAAATGCTAACTTATGTGAATAAAATTACACGGCTATGCAAAAATATTTCACTTATAATAGATATCAATATTGCTACAGGTATTTGTTGCAAAATTAACACATGTACATACCAATAAACGGTAACCAGACAAAGGAAACGACAGTAACAGTCTCTGAGGACCACCGTCAATAACTAATAGAAAAATGAAATAAGACAGTCCTGTACAGAGAGCCAATAGTCCTATGCAAAAAGGATAAAGTAACATTAAATAATGAGAAGCAAGAAATAGTCAACAAAATGCTATTTATAATAAAAGTCCCTCTCTTACTCCATCATCATAATATCATAAATTTGGGTATGTAACATGCATGCACATACCTATAGCTACCAGAAGGTAAAGCAAAGCTATCAAAATGAGTTCAACAGAATACTCCTGCCAGGGAAGATATAGCGGAGTAATGTAGCACAGCTCAGCTGAGACAAGTAGTCCTCCTATGTAAAATGGATTAATAACATTCAAGCAAGAAATACCCAGTCTATTTATAATAAAAGTCCCTCCTTACTCCATCACCATAATATCGTAAATTTGGTTATGTAACATGCATGCACATACCTATAGCTACCAGAAGGTAAAGCAAAGCTATCAAAATGAGTTCAACAGAATACTCCTTCCAGGGAAGATATAGGGGAGTAATGTAGCACAGCTCAGCTGAGACAAGTAGTCCTATGTAAAATGGATTAATAACATTCAAGCAAGAAATACCCAGTCTATTTATAATAAAAGTCACTCTCTTAATCCATCACCATAATATCGTAAATTTAGTTATGTAACATGCATGCACATACCTATAGCTACCAGAAGGTAAAGCAAAGCTATCAAAATGAGTTCAACAGAATACTCCTTCCAGGGAAGATATAGCGGAGTAATGTAGCACAGCTCAGCTGAGACAAGTAGTCCTATGTAAAATGGATTAATAACATTCAAGCAAGAAATACCCAGTCTATTTATAATAAAAGTCACTCTCTTAATCCATCACCATAATATCGTAAATTTAGTTATGTAACATGCATGCACATACCTATAGCTACCAGAAGGTAAAGCAAAGCTATCAAAATGAGTTCAACAGAATACTCCTTCCAGGGAAGATATAGCGGAGTAATGTAGCACAGCTCAGCTGAGACAAGTAGTCCTATGTAAAATGGATTAATAACATTCAAGCAAGAAATATCCAGTCTATTTATAATAAAAGTCACTCTCTTAATCCATCACCATAATATCGTAAATTTGGTTATGTAACATGCATGCACATACCTATAGCTACCAGAAGGTAAAGCAAAGCTATCAAAATGAGTTCAACAGAATACTCCTGCCAGGGAAGATATAGGGGAGTAATGTAGCACAGCTCAGCTGAGACAAGTAGTCCTATGTAAAATGGATTAATAACATTCAAGCAAGAAATACCCAGTCTATTTATAATAAAAGTCCCTCCTTACTCCATCACCATAATATCGTAAATTTGGTTATGTAACATGCATGCACATACCTATAGCTACCAGAAGGTAAAGCAAAGCTATCAAAATGAGTTCAACAGAATACTCCTTCCAGGGAAGATATAGCGGAGTAATGTAGCACAGCTCAGCTGAGACAAGTAGTCCTATGTAAAATGGATTAATAACATTCAAGCAAGAAATATCCAGTCTATTTATAATAAAAGTCACTCTCTTAATCCATCACCATAATATCGTAAATTTGGTTATGTAACATGCATGCACATACCTATAGCTACCAGAAGGTAAAGCAAAGCTATCAAAATGAGTTCAACAGAATACTCCTGCCAGGGAAGATATAGGGGAGTAATGTAGCACAGCTCAGCTGAGACAAGTAGTCCTATGTAAAATGGATTAATAACATTCAAGCAAGAAATACCCAGTCTATTTATAATAAAAGTCACTCTCTTAATCCATCACCATAATATCGTAAATTTGGTTATGTAACATGCATGCACATACCTATAGCTACCAGAAGGTAAAGCAGAGCTATCAAAATGAGTTCAACAGAATACTCCTGCCAGGGAAGATATAGGGGAGTAATGTAGCACAGCTCAGCTGAGACAAGAGTGAGGAGTACTATCCAACACAAAAGATGGTTCTTGTTCAACTGAATGGTTATGCCAAGAGAATCCAGAAATGAGCACATGCAAACAGTCCTGTAACTGAACATTATACATACATGATACACACAAAGCTAAGTTATCACTGTATTACAGTCACACAAATGTCTGATCTTATGAGTATAAGGGAACAAAATTCTAGTTGTTTAGTCTATAAACTACAAATACATGTACTATTAAGTTTTGGTCACAAGTCTATAAGTAACACGTATGTATGATTGTCTTCATATATCATTGTCTACCTGCAGAAATTACAACAGATAAAACTAAGCATGTCCGCTATGCGGAGAGTTTATAAGAGACATGATTCACTAGGAGGGTAAACTGCATGAGCTAACAATAAGGATGACATAGGAAAAAAGCTTTTAAAAATCATCATCACGAAAGGAAGTATACATACATGCTAAAATAAAATTAATTGTAGCTAAACATAACTGATTGTCTGCATGGGCTGTACTATTTCACATGGCTTCATCAATTAGGCAGACTGATTACAATGCATAAACATACCAATAAATAGCAACCACAAAGGCCAACCACATGAGAGAAATACAAAACTGTGCCAGCCAGGTACTCAACTCTTTTTTACAACTCAGTGACCACAGTTTATGAAAAAGTGCGGCATAAGCACTAACGGCCACTGAACAGAACATGCAACCCAACCCATCATGAACATGCAGGAGTGAAAAGTGGTAAAATGAGTCTCCTTAGTAACATAATACCCATTATGGCAATGCATTTTAGACTCGAATGACGCTACTACTCTGTGACATTTATATATACCTAGGCGCCAAGAGGTCCAACACGATATTAAACACGAAATAACTAGCGAGAACGGCTCTAGTGAGTTTCAACAAGCTGAGAGATCAACCACCGGTGTGTCAGAGACAGCTATTTCATCATAATTTGCACCTCGGTTGTTAAAAGAGACTAATGGCCGACGTGAGAACAGCTAGCTAGCAAGTAACAACACGTGCTCTTATAATAACTATTTGTCATGCGCAACAATTTACGGTGCGGGCGGCGATGAGAAACAATGAATCTAATCACTGCGGCCTAAGAGTGCTTAACAGCTATACAAGCAAATCATGTCTCTAGATCCTTTTAAAGTAATAACAAGAAGGCCTTTTGTTAGTGGATGAGTCTTCTTGCGCCACGCCTGCCACTTTAACAATAGAATATGAAAAAACTACCATAACCAATTGCATTAAGTAGCATTCAAGAAGCTCCAAGTATCTAGTGAAGTCCCATCCATGAACCAGAAAGACGTTAGCAGGCTTTGTAGTGAAGCTTCCTATCAATCCACCATTGCTGAGCTGCCGTTGCTATGGTAATTCCAATGAATATCATTAAATTAATGCGACCGGAAGTCCCATTGCAATAGCTGGACATGAGCTCATTCTTATAGGCAGGTAGATCTAGATTGCTCTTTAGTTGTATACTGGTATTTAGTTGTATAATGTTTGCAATTGCATGATGATACATATGGGTTTATGGCACTTAAATTTAAGCCACTTTCATTTTGTCAGTGCTACTGCTTGGGGGGTTGTTGATAGTTAAATCATATAAATTGATTGCTTGCATATGCAGTTATAATTGTTATTGCCTTCGTGACGAAATTTTGTATATATGATTGGTCTTGGGCCATTATACATTAAAGGCTGGTTCACAATATTACGCTAGTCCTGACGTTATGTTGACGCTGGAATCGAATCTGGATCGATTCCAGCGGAAAGCATGCGTCAAAAGGTCAAATCGCCCACACTTTTGATTAAAAATTGACGGTACGTTGGCCTAGCGTCATATTGTGAACCAGGCTTAAGGCTCCACTGTGCATGTGCGCAAGATTCATCATGTAGTCCAAGTATTTGCTCTAATAATTATACCTTAAAGCTGACATGTCGTAATGATCCAATAGGTTAATAACACACAGTTATTCTCTACATGTTGTAAATATAGGTACTACATTTCTCTGTTCTCAATGAATTTGGTATTCATAATTCATTGACTCTATCTTTATCGCCTGATGTGAATGATGTCCCTCTTTTGGTATTTCTCTCCTCATACTAACTCAAGTAATCAACTATAAAATACCTACATATTATGGATGTACATTATGTATGCATAAACATTGTTATTATTTTTCATTATGTATCAAGACGCAATACACATTACATTGCATGTACATGTGTGTACATTAAAGGGGAGAGAGGGAGAGAGAATGGGGTGTCTTTCTGGTGATTAATTTGATGTATCATCTATTATGTAGGAGAATCTCGCCAAAGTCATTAAGAGAAAGCAATGCTGAAGAAGGCTTTAAAATGTCTAATTAGAACAAGCAAGTGTTTAAAAGTCAACATCACTGTATAATTAAAAAATTGTCATCGCTTTCTGTCTCTCTTAGTACAATAGGATCAAGACAAAGGCAAAAAATAATTAATGCTGTGTTGCATTGGCTGAATCAATAATAATGGTAAGTGGTGTGTAATGTACATGTTAATATAGACTACTGCATGTGTAATTTCAATGGTAATTTTCACAGGCCTTAAATAGTTGTAAAAATAATCTAGTTTTAATCAAAATCAGCTCAAATTTTCTATTTAAAACAGGAACATATACACGTATCAAAAAATATATAGAAAAAAATCTTCTGCAATCAATTTTTGACATTATGCACCTTGTACTATAT